CAATTCGAAGTTGCCTGACGAAATGGTTTCGTCATGCGTCAATGACGCAAGTTGCGTCATGCGTCACCCATCACTAACACACACGTAATTTTAAGTTTAGATAATATATATTTCGTTAATAATTAACATTCAGAAAAGAGACCTGTAGTATTTTTTCGTGCAACAGATTATGCAGAGTTTGCAATTATACAGTATCGAAGTTTAGTTACTTTGATATTAATAATAGATTAATCAATACAATATGGATGCTGACATTTAGTGCGTGATATTTTAGTGGTGGGTTGAGCATGTATTATGTCTTACGTTACATAAAGAAAATTAATATAATAAGGTTCTTTTTAGATTGGCCAATCATATTGGATCTTATGTGTGCCCACATAGTAAATAGATATTACGTAATATATGTCACAGCCCTATGTTCATATATCTTTATATCTGAAAAATGTAATTAACGTTTTATGCATTAAAGAATTTTAATAAAATGCTGATTAATAATAAATTTTTTTTGCGTACGTAAAATCGTTCTCGCAATTTGATCGGCTAGTAGAAGTTGTTCTTTATTATCATATCCAGGGCGGGAAACTGCTCTAGTGCTATTATAATCTTATATTTTGCTGATATATTATATGAGTGACGCCAAGGAAAAATGGGACTGTAGTTTATCATTAATTATTTATATAATAAATGAGAAACAATTCCCATTTCCTTGGCGTCACTCATATTTAGCTATAAAAATATATACCATTTGTTTAAATAAAAATTGTGAATAAAAATTTTAAGATATTAATTTGGGATTTTGGTGTGGACAAATTCAAAATATAATAGTTTGGGAATTTAGGGTTTAGGCTGCAGTATAAGTGTTATCATCATAATTTTTCTGGCTAATAAATTTCAAGATCAAAAATAACATAAAACAGCGAAAAAAATGGCTAATAAATTTCAAGATCAAAAATAACATAAAACAGCGAAAAAAAAAAAAATTATATCGATTCAAAAATCACCATAACCCAAAATATTTTCCTCCGTACATGCACAAAGAGTTTTCCCTTGAGAGTTTTTGGCATTGATAAAACTTGGTCTAACCTAATCTAATAGTAAATCTGATTCTAACCTAATAATGAAATCTTTTAAAGTCTAAAAGTTGGATGAGTCTGCACAGGCTGACCGGAATTAAAGAGTAAGATGCATAAGTTACAAATTAGAGATAAATTAAAGAAAATGATATAAAAATGAAGTAAATTTCCGAAACAGACCGGCAATATCAATAATAATATCCTGAGCTGGTATTGGTAGAAACTTCCTTTCTGCTTGTACATGTATGAGTCGGGTTATTATAAAGTGACCAGAGTAGCAGTAAGTTAATATAGGCACAAATATATATTTTAGTACTTATTCACGAGCTCATAGCTGCATATTAAGTTTAAAAATGCATGACTTTCCCTATCCTTAATCCTGATAGTGTTGACTTGTGTTGATCTGATTAATAAGCCTTAGTCATGGTGGTAGATGCTGAAATTGATAGAATCTACGTGCATCAGACACTTTTAGCTTGAATGCATTTTCGAATTATTTCAATTGAAGGTATTGTACGAGGGTTTTAACGGAAACACGTATGTTTTGGTCATATGAGTAATTAAATTACTAATGAAGCACAGCACATATCTTTCATTCTTCATTTTACTTTATTTTATTTTATTTATCAAAAAATTTTTTTAATAAAGATCCAAACAAAGAACCAATGAAAATTGCACGATAAAATTATAAAAAATTTACACACGGAAAACCCGACATAACGTTATTTCAGCCGTTGATGAGATAATACAACGACAATGATTTAGTGGTTGCACATTAAATTTAAAGAGGAAAGTTATATTTAACAATGAGAAGCTAAAATATAATTTCAAACTAATAAAAATAGATAAATTTGAAAATATTTGAAAATATTTGAAAAATTTTGAATATAGCCGAATATTTATTTATTATATTTTTGTTTTCAAGTTATTAACAATTTATATTGCTAAATTTCGAATTATTCATTATAAATTATACATGAATAAATTTTTAAAGTTCACTTATTTTTATACCTGAAAATTGGTTATAAAACATGATCTCGTAGATTAACGGCGGTTTTTTTTTTTTTTTTTTACACAAGAATACTTAAATTAGGAGATACGTATAGATACATTAAAAATCAAGTGACTAATACTATAATATATATAATATATTAGGCTAAAGTATGTAGATATTGTATTTAGTGATGAACCTGGGGCCCCATACTACGTGATGACTAGTGTCACATTAGGCATCTACCGTGTGATTACCATTGACAAAACTGAGAGATACTATTCATCACATAGTTTGGGTTACATTACTGACCAGTCGGATTAAGTCAGCACAACTCCGCATGTTACATATGTATGTAGATTATCCACTCTGGGCCATCAAAATCAATCATAAACAAAAATGATAAAAAACTTTATTTAATAATGTATAAAACTGGTAACAATAAGAACCGTCTAACTATAAATGTTTGGGCGGGAAACTTGGGGGACCGTTTATAATGATTTTTTTTTTCCAAGTACAAAATAAAAGTCCGTGTTATATGCAGATTATGTAAAAATTTCGACCTAGTCACATGAGTATAACTAAAATCTAAACAATGTTTGAAAATCACACTTCTTCAAAGAAACTCTGGTAACCCGATAATTTGACTATGAAGTCACCTTTCTTTAACATTCTAAGATTTAAACATTTAAGGCTTTATTAATTCAAGTCTCATTAATTCGGTCGTTTAGATTTTCATGTTACGCAGCCTTATTAGTTATATACACATGACATGTTTTCTTTTTTTTTTTAGCCGATTTTCTTGATTTATACATAAAAAATTTTTTGCCAAGTAAAAATTCACATAAAACACATGTTCAAAAGGCAATATGTTCAAGATAAGAAAAGATAATAGTTCAATGACAACAATTATATCGCGTATCTAGAGGAAATGAATTTTTAATTTTTAATTAATTTGATAACAAAGATATCATTGAGATGGTTATGAAAATCTCATGAAAAAGAATTTATAATGTCTGATTTACGTCCAAATTAAAAGCAACGCTATTAAACGTTCTCAGTCATAACCACTATTTCGAGTTTTTTTTTTTATTTCTTTTTAAAAATAAAAAATATAAAAGAAAGTACCATAAATGACTTTCTTTGAAACTCTAATAGTACAGAACATATTCCCTCCAAGTCTTAATGATCCAAATGTCATATTAAATGAGCTTCCAAGACATTTTAATTCACAGTCTGTGACTGCATATGGAGTATTTAAAATGAATGTACATAAGGAAGCACAAAGACTCGGAGTCGGCAATAATACTGAAATAAATGCTGTAGTGAGCAAAATGTGGAACAGCGCATCTCCAGCTGACAAAAACCAATACTGTGTTTTAGCTTCAGCTACGACTGCGGTGTTGCCGAGAAGGTTCCCGGTAAGAACACTGAGAAGGCGTTAAACAATAATAATAAAAAAAAAATAAAAGTTATGGATATATGGGGGATAAGTTTTTTGAAATTCAATATGCTAATATTATATGGGGATAAAGTTTTTTATGTTTACTGTAATACGTAAGAAGACATATGTTAGGGAAATATCAGATATCAACTGATATCGTAGGGTGGGAGGGAGGTAGACAGAATTTCAGGCCTAAAATATATATAAAAATAAACAATCAGAATGACTAAATTTCTCAGGAGGGAGGGAGGGAATGAGCTCTATAGTAAACTGATCACAGTTAATGTCTGATACTTCCTTATTTTAGCTCTATGATAAGTTTTAGTAAGACAAATTATGATACTATAATATATGATGATAAAATATTAGATAATTTAAGTTAAGTTAACGGTTTGTGAAAATAAGTGGAAGAATAAAAAAAAAAAAATCGAATTTATGATAAAATTCAGATAATTTTGTACATTTAGTTGTTATATGTATGTTTAAATCAGAAATTGATAATAAAAGTGATCGTATAAATCAGTGCATACGGAAATTAATTAAAAATCAAGATTGTAAATAATTTATTTCAAAAAAATCAAGTATATATCCTATTTTACTAAAACGATTCTTTAGATTAAGTTTGAAATTACATTAATTTGATCAGTTTTCTTCGAAATGAAGCTATCTTGCTCGGAAAAGGAGGGTTAAAAAAGCAAATGTATGCGTAACATGAATTGCATGTAGAAACTAATTAGTAAGATACAAAAAAATCAAAATTTTAAAGTTTTGTTAAATTTTCTCAAACAATTACCTAGCTAAATATGGTCAAGTAGTTGTGAAAAAATTCTATTTGAAAAAATAAATCTACGTACGTACGTAGCTTGTTGAAAGGTGATGTTAAGTAAGTTTTCACAACAACCAACCTGACATTAATCTCTATTTTAATTCTAAGAATCTGAAAATTTTTACTGAATTTTGCCAGGCTTTTATCGAAAGAAATTCTTAATTATTCTTAGAGTACAGAACCGATTTTATTTTTATATCCTAAAACCGGTTGTTTTCGGTTTTAACTATAAAAAAATAAACCCGGTTCCAACTCTAACCCCATATACAGTAGTTCTGTGGCGAATGCGTGTAGCCGTTTTAGCAGATCCCAAATTTGAAGATGCTAACGTTAGTATGTGCATAGTGAAAAAATTTATTGCTTATTATTTAATTCAATTAATATATATAATATACTTATGTTGTGGCTGAAATAAATCAACGACGCCTTTTTGATAAAGATTGTTTCGATAATTGTATGAATCATCCGAAGACAAGTAAAAGTGCTACTTCTTAACATTAAATTCAGAAATTCATATAAATAATTCTACAGTGTCACACTAAATTGTGTTTTTATATGCTTGGATTGGATGTTGTTCTGTACACATCTACGTACAACTTGGTAACGCGTTACTCAAAATAACATACTAATAAACATTTGCGTATAGAATTCTGATAGAAATTCTAAACAATATAAAATGTAATTTAAAATTAAAATAAATAATTTAAATATAGTCTTAATGAAAAAATAAAAGATTTATACATGGAGCAATACTCATTGTAACATGTAACATCAGAAACTAGTATACATAAAAATATGTGTTTTTATCGCAAAACTAAACAAATAAAAGCAATAAATTTTAATTAAATTCTAAAATATTTATATTTAACTAACTTATATTAGTTTAAAAATAAAACCTTAATATTTGATTATTTAATGAAAATGTATCCAATTCTTATACAATAATTTAAAATTGTTATACCTTTTTTAAAACAAATTATAATAAAATTTCCTCTTTCACTTTTGTTTTTGGTCTATAGAGCAAATCCGAAAGAGAAATTTTTAAGATTTTAATTTTAAAAAAATTATAGCAGTTTAAATATGTAACTTTTAGAAATTTGGTGTTGATATATAATTTTAAAAAATTTACATATAATTTTCAAAATTCTGATTGGTTAATATTTTTTTATTATATGTATTTTTTTATTATAAAAATTTTTATTATAAAAATTTTTTAAAATTTGGCGCTTTGCGAAAAAAAATGGAATCTTTAGCTGTTCCGTACTGTATATTAATAAGGTAATTCAGTATGAGTATTCATAAATATTTATCGCTTTTTGTAAAATAGTGCGACAAATAATTAGGGTCGGTTACGGTTGGTTATATTCATTTACAGTATATGGCTATCGTCGGCTATGATTAATTTTCGATATAAAGCACTACTAAACAGTAGGTTAAAGGTTTCTGATCAGTCACGGTTACATTATAACCGTGGATATAACCGCTTATAACCGGTATTGACCAGCTTAGAGTTTGGAACCGGTTTTATTTTGATATTAATATGTCAAAATTAGTGGACACGTGATGAATTTTGTTACCGTATTCCTCCGAAAATAAGCACCCCTACAATTAATATATACCCGAAAATAAGAACCTCTTATATAATAGAAATAACCAAATAATTTTCGATCGGTAAAAGATTATATCGAAGCAATGTACAGTCGAGATTTATATTATCGAAAACTGTATTCATTTTTACCAAAAACTGCCTGTAATTTCGATAGCTATTACCGAAGCAAAAGTATCGTTTTTGATAGATCTGCGGTTGCTTTTTTGGGCTCAAGCATCGATCTACTTGTCCGGATAGATTTCACCGGGTTTCTCCTTTTATGGTTAAATTGAGTTTCCAAGTTTTTCGGCTTTATTTCTTAAAATGTCGTTCCTAGATCAATGTATGATTAGCGTATTGTGAATATAAAAATTCGATTGTCACTGTTGACCTTGATGAGTCATTTTGTTTCGGGTTTCTTATTTCGATAAGAAATTGTTCCTGATTGTTTCTTATCATTCTATGTAAAGTTTCGGTTCAGAAGTTTATTCCAGATATAGGGTCGAATTTTTAGTTCGGTTAATGTTGGTTTCCTTATTGATGCAGCCACGTGGGCTCTATCTTGTGGTTCGAAGATCACAAGATATCTTGCCTTGTAGTGATCGTTAATAACCTTATTAGCTCTACGAATTCGGTCCTTAGTTTCTTGCAGTTTCTTTTGGAGTCTATCTACATAGTTCTCCATTCGTAGAATCTCATGTCTGGTGACATATTCAGGTATCTTGTTGCTTGATTCGAAATCTTGATCTGTCATTTTGCCAAGAGTTTTCTTATAGTTTTCTTCATCGTCCAGCGATTCAATTTCGTCATATGGTTGTTTTTCGGGGTTTCCTTCATATAATGCTTCTTCTTCATAATAAGCATTAATCTCTCCGAATATTAATTCTAAATTCTATGCAAACATAGGGATCAGTTGTAATATCATCATTTCTTCGAATGTATACCATTGCCATTCCGAGGCCTTGGTAGGTTCCATTCGTTGAGGTTCCATCCAGTCATCTACTGGATATATAAAAACGGTTCGTTCGATTTTATATTTTGCTTCAAGTATTGGACAGTTCCTTTGTGATGTCCATTCCAATCTACTTAGAGCAGTTTCTTCCCAAATGTTAATTAATTTTTCTTTTTGTAGTTCCAAGTTGGTTTCTTCGAAACATTCTCTAAAAAATGCTTCTTTGGCTGTTTCGCATGGATGACCATGAGTATTTAGGTTTCCTTTTCCTCCTGGTCCTTGGAAGTGTTGCCAGTAAGGTCTTTCTGGATCAATCCTTTCTGACAAAGATATATATAGTTTTCCATTTATTTTCTTAAATAATATTTCTTGTACCAATCTTTTTGTAGGGAGATCAATATTTGAAATCCTTTGTGCTATTGCATAAAATTAATTTCTACAATTGTTGCAATGGTCAAAGAATACTGTTTTGTTTCTATCGAATTCTTTAAAGAGGTAGTATGGATATAGGGTGTTACATCCTGGGCATCTTTGTGTCCAGTTGTTTTCTAGCAAATTCATGATTTAGTTATTCTTGTAATTATTTGTTTTTCTATATCCTTTCCTAATTCTTCATATAATTCCTTATAGTTTTCTAGTCTGATTCGTTGTTCGGTTTCAGTTTCAGTTTTGAGGTAATTGTTAATATCAGTTAAGTTTCGGTAGATATTAATTCGTTGTTCCAAGAGTCAACTAGTTTTTCTGATTCCGTCATTAAAATGGTTGGTATTGTTCTGTGAGTAAAAGGTCAACAGTAGGTAACCTGGTTTTGTATTCTCCATAATTTAGTTTACTTCCTGTTGCTGAGGTTTCTACTATTTTTCTTAATATGTTTAGGTATCTTGTTTGAACTTGTACTTTCTGACGTATCGCCTCGTTTTCGTATAGTATAGTTTCTTGTAAATTTCGTATTCTTTCAATTTCCTGAATTTCAAAATATATTTCTTGGTTATGTGTTAACCACTTCTTATACTGTGGACTTTTATAGGCATTTGAAATTTCCAATTCTTGGTCGAATTCAGTTCTAAATCTATGTCTTATTTTAGGTAATTCGTATTTCTTCAATATCAATTGGAGGTGTTGAAATCCTGATTTCAATCCTTCAAATGTCAAGAGAGTTTTGTAATGAGTTTTCTTGTCTCGCCAGTCAAGATATATTTTCTGTGGTTTCTGTTTCTTGAGGTAAATAAATTTTTCTATTAGGTATCTTAGTATAGTATGGTAATTATTTTGTTGTTCAATTAGTTCCATTAGTTTCTTTGATTTCTTCTAATTTGATCTTAAAGATCTCTTCAAGAGCCTCTAGTTTTAATTCAATTTCTTGAATTGTAGTTTCTTTATTCTTTTCTATAAAGGTTTGTATTTTGTTTTTATAAAAGTCTGATGCTATATTCTAAGTTATTAATACTTTATTTTTTTAAATCTTCCTTTTGGAGTTCTTTCCCAAGTTCCAATAATTCAATAAAGAATAAGAAGTGTAGGCTAGTATACGACTTTCCTTCCCTATGTAGTCATAGGTATACTTTTTCTTGATACGTTTTAATTATTTCAGTCAATAATCTGTATTCTGATGGGTTCCTTTTTATTTTTACTATTTCAGAATCTGGTAATTGGAAGTTTCTTTCTCTTGATGGCCACTTGACTTTTCTTCTACTTTTTTACTTTCTTTGTATTTAAATTTATC